TCACAAAAGACCAGCCATGATACCAGTCCAGACAGTCATCAGAGTGCAGGAACTGCTCCCTGCTATGCATCTCTGAGGGCTAGGGAGTGCCAAATCCAGGAATCACACTCTTCCTGCAAATCTATGCAATCCATGAGTACAGGTTGTCCTACCTTATTAGATGGGAAGCTCAAACTGAACTTGCATCTAGTGGGGTTGCAGGTCAATTCATAGCTGCCTTGGAGCAAGCCATTAGGTGGAGTTGAGCCAATAGTTAAAGTCACAACCAAGGAAACAGGAAAATGAGTTTCTGAAAGCAAGATTTGCTGAAGTCCATGGACCACTAGTTTGACAAATTTTCTATCTTGGGTCCCATACTGGGTAAGATAGTGTACATTCATTGTGATGAGAGTCGTATATAAACATTCAAAACATAAAGTGAAATTGAATTATTTTACGGAGGTCTTTGACTAGGGAGGCTCCATGTATTTGTAAGGGGAATTATTTAACCTTCCATCCAAAAAAAAAAAGATCTCTTATGGCATGTCTGATAATTTAGAGTCTTCCTGGCTTTTTAAATTATGCTACTGTATGTAGCTGAAAATTGTTTGATAAGCATCACTAAGTGGTCTGGCTTTAAACCAAGCCTGTCATCTAGTGGAGTGCTATGCTATTCCAACTTTAATCTAGATAACTGGCACACATAAAATAAGGGAACACAAATATGACACAGCTGCAGCTAGTCTGGTGGAGCTAAAATGCTTAACAGTGTTTTATGCCTGTAATATAAGGCTGCTTACTAATGGAAGAATCCTAAAAGAGTGACAATCAGATTGCCTTTGATACAACTGGTTATAAAAATGTTGGAGATCTAGTATTTATGGTGCCTGCAGGTTACAATAAAATGCTTATGTTATGACTTTACTAGACATCAAAAATGCTGCATAACTATGGGCAAATTTCACCAATAACAGCCCAGTGTGTAGCAAGCTAGGTTTGCAGCAGAGAATGAGTTAATGATCAACAGTTTACAGAAAAGCTTCTGACATAACTAAGACATTATAGTGGTTTGTTGCACAATCCATGTGCCCTTTCTGAATAATGTATCTGAATGTGCCAGGAAAACACAGTGTATGCATTAAATGTACTGCATAAGAGTCAGTGCAGTAAATTAAATAAATAGTGTATGATCCAAGTGCTTTTGTCAATAACGCATTGATTATAATGCCACATACTGTACTAAAAATCTAATAAATACAGAATGTCAGCTGGATAACTGGAGCATAAGAGTATGTTAAGTTCTGGCACTTGAGGCAAATATAAACAACCTTATTTGTGCTCTAGGAGTAAAGAATTTTCCCCTCGGGAAAAAAAATATACACTCTGACTTACCCTACATTTGAAAACAGGAAGCAGGTGCTCAGAAAAAAAAAAGAGAGAGATCTGCTCCTTCAATTATGGATTTAAAGACTAATAACAGGGAAAAATCAGCTGAGAGTAGAAGAGACAGATGAACAGAAAAGGAAACCATTAATTATTTGTTCAGTCAAAGTATACACACCTCAAATTGTTCTGTAATAGGACACAATATACCTAATGTCTCAAGAAGTTTGCCTGCAAAGGTGTAACATGCAGTTGTGATTACAGCACTGCAGAGAAAGTGCTGAAATAGCTATCTATCTGTTTTAACATGGCATGTCACCGGGACATGGCTTTGGCTCCTTGTCTGTGTTAAATGTAAGAATACTGTAGATAGTTGAGGAAATGCCTGTGCACAGGTGCGCTCTCCAGGGACAGTATCAACTTGCTGTCTGTGAAATGGTTGCAGAAGTTTTCTGAGATGAATGGCCCAACCTGAACACTGACGTAACCTCTACATCTCACACAGGCAGCCCAGAAAAAGTCAGGCTCTGTGGACTCGGTGCTACCAGCAGATGAGAAGACTGTTTTCCTAACTGTACAAATCCAAATTGCATAATTTATTCAAAATATTAATAGCTGTGAACCAGCATGGATAAGACCAGGCAAAAATATCCAGGGTGGCTGCTGGCACCAGGTTCCAGCACTGTGGCTCAGCTAGCTGACTTGCCCTTGAAAAATGTGCAACTGTATACAGAAATTCTCCCTAAAGTTTTCTTGTAGCTGTTAGGAAGTGTCACCAGATATATCAGGGATAATATGTTTTTCTTTTTTTTCCTGGTCCTCCAAAATAACCTTTATGAAAACTCATATATTTCCAAGCTACGTCAGGATTTAGGGCCGCAACTGATAATCATTTGTGACTAATTTGATTTAGGGAAGGATGTCACACAATTAGGCTGATCAGCTTGCAGTTTATGTCTGCTAACTCTCTACAAAGACAGCATTCTCATTTTTATGACCTGATCACCCAAAGAAAAGTCCAAGAAGCCTAAGGTCTGATTATTCATGAGAGCCTGATCCAGAAATGGAACCATTTGAGAAAGTGTGAAATTTTAAGCATTTGAGTAGTTCTATTGACTTCAACCTACTCTTGTGTTGTGTCAAATCAGTCTCAGACCAGAGACAGATATCTGTGAGAATGCAACTTCAAATAATCTGGATATGCCATGAAAATTGTTTCTTTTGTACCTGAGTATAATGAGTTGTGCATCTGTTTGGAAACCGGAGTGCTAATGTAGAAGAGCAACATTTATCCTTCATTGGAAGTATATAGCAAATGTATGTTGGGTCTTTCTAAAGATCAGGCATTCTTTTTCTATGGCTTGTGCGTTTACTCAAAAATGATCCCTACCACTAAAATGAAAAGAGAAAAAAGTAAAAAATCTGATGGTTGTGTCTTTTTGAACACAGACATGAATGTATTTTATGGTTAAGCTAAGCATATGTTGTAAAACAGATCAAAAACTGATTACTTGCAAGGATGGGTAACAGTATGTGGCTGAAGTTTAGGCAAGCACGTAATTGTGTAATGAAATCACTTAAATCTATTGGGAAATGCATTTTCCTTTCACCCTTGGAAAAACTGATCTGCACGGAATTTTATACTGAGGTTTTTACTCCTGTTTCCCTAGCCCTCTCCCATACACTCTCGCCTTTTCTGCTGGGTCTACAGCTTTTACATGTCTCTCCATGACTCTATTCCTTTTGTCTGCCTCCTCAATGGCTCCAGAGTCCTAAAGAAATGTTTAGCTTTGAAGACTGGCCTAAAAAAATGGTAATTTTCCAGACAAAGGCCAGGTGTTACTTCCGATTCATACAGTATGCATCTCTATTATCCTGCAGGTCAGCTCCCGCCGTGCCTGCTCCATGGGTGTTCCGACTGCATAAGGCCTGTGAGATTTGCCCCGTGCGACTGAACTGCAGATGGCACTTTCATAGCTCCTATTTTAGCAGCAGTCAATTTTCTAAACTTTCCAATATCAAGTTACAAGGTGATTTCTGTGTCACAGCCTCACCACTTTCTCATGCCAACCCGAGGAAGTAACATAGCGTCCACAGAGAGAAAACGGGGTCGGGGATGAAAGCCCCAGCTACATCAGCAGGATGACCATCAGCATGGTTCTGGCCCGCCCAGTCCCTGTGCTGAAACCCGGACCCACAAGAGTGTTATAACTCAGGGGACAGCAGGCTCTGCCACTCCAGGGGGTAAGGACTTTGTCTCACTGTGCCTTTCCCTTCTGCCTTTGGGCAGACTGGATGTCAGTTCTCAAAAGAACTTCAGTAGGAGGAGAGGTGAGCCAGGCTTTGTAGAGCAGACTTCCCCAGGCACATCGCTAGCCTACAGCTCCAGCATCACAGTGTGAGCAGAGGGCCTTGCATCTGCTCGCACAGGCACCCTGTCACTTGCCAGGGTTTCCTAACGACTTGCTGAGGCCTGATCATCTGTGTGCATATATCCTTAGCAAGGTCAGCCATTTCAAGCAAACACCAAGTTTGGGATTGCTGTTTGCTCTCAGAACAGATTATTTTTCTCTATTTCCACATCAGACTAAGATAAAAAGGGAAAAACAACCCGCCCTTTGTCAGTGCACTGTATCCAAACCAAACTAACACGATCAGTTTCTGCCAGGAAACAAAGTCAAGTTACAATGCTAAATAAATCACTTCTGCAATCATCATTCTGGAATTTTGCCTCCCTCTCCTGTACTGTAACTATGTGTCATAGATGGAATTGCCTTAAAGAAGTACAATTATCTGCAGCTATTTACATGAAGTTAAAATCCAAATTTCTTTGAAAGATTTGAATGCTGTTGGAACTCCCCGAAGTTAAAAAATGAGAAATAAGCCAGAACTATCCTTCTGAATTCTTGTTGAACCAAATTCATTTTTATGTGTGTGGTGATAATTAGGAATCAATCCCCCTCATCTTGTAATGATCGAAAGCTGTGTATCAGCCTCTGTGATGACTTGATCAGGCCCAGGGTACTTACAGCTATCTTTTACTTAATCAAATGCCTTATTACACACTGGATAAGCCTACAACACTATGTGATGAATTTAATGCATGAATTTAATAGTTTCATAATTCTTACATGGCAGTTCAAGAACAGAATTAAAATTATACACTAGACATTCCTTAATCTTTAATTTGATGTTATATATCTTTGTTATGTGATTTAGCCACATCAATGCATTGGAACATATCATGCTATCTAAAGGTTCAATATGAAAAGCAAAAAGAAATAGAGAAAAATGGTCTTAAGATTGAAACAGCAGAAATAAATAACTCATTTCATTAGAAAAGAGAAAGATTGAACACAAATTATGCTGAAAGCCACCCTGTATGAGCCCCTATCAGTTATGGGGAGAATCAAGACAAGGCAAAAAAGGTGATGAAGTAAAATGAGTAATGGTAATGAAGGCTTTGTGGTTCAGAGACTCAGTAGGCAAGGCGACTGTCAAGGTTGTGAGAGCAACTGGGGCTGCGTTCAGAGATTAAACGGAAGCTACAGGTTACAATTAAACCTAAAACTGAACAAAATCATGCTTCAGATGTAAGACAGACAATGGCTTGCACTGCTTTGAATGTGGGTACTCACAGTTTTTGCTGAAGAGGTGAGACAAGCAGCTGAGCAGAGGACAGCAACCCACACATTCTCAGCTTGACGCAATACTCTGATTGTTGGGTTTTCAAGCCTGAGTTTGGATTGCATTGCAGTCAAGGAAGCTAGTGCGTGCCTTCACATGAATCTGTTGAGCAGAACAGAAATGGGCATAATCACAGTCTTGATATCCTGTGTTTCAAGCACTGAAAATAGGGATACCAGGCCTGTAGTTACAAGGTTTTGAACAGCTAAACACTATTTCACAGGTTTTTTTTTCCTGTCCAAAGTGAGTTTTTATAGTTTAGCCATTCATGTAATGAAACATGAATTTTACATGCCATGCCAATGTTAACAGACTGTTAACTATATCAGCAATGATGAAACTTCTATAATATTAACCTTTTAAAAAATAAAACTGTAATAATGATGTGGTTTCCATTAGACCTTTCAGATCACTTACAAATTATCTGGATCTCCTACTGTTTATTTGTTTTTACTTTAGATTGTTGCCCCAAGCATTTAAATAATTATAATAAAATAATAATAGAATTAAGATTAGATAAATTAAGTGGAAATGAAATTGAATACATTTTCCATGACAGCTGGCAAGTCCCATTCTGTGACTGCTCAGAAACAAAACTGGAATTTTTATGACAGTAAACAATAAGGCGATCGTGTACAGGATGTAACTCAATGCTCAAGAGGAGCAGTGTGCAAGTGACACATCAACAAAAACAAACTTGTTTCATTTATGAACTGTTAATTACCATAACTTACATAATCATGGACATCTGTTCTCCCTTTCTCATACATGTACATATATGCAGATAATTACCACTACCTATTGGACAGAAGAGCAAGTAACACAGCATAGTGATAGACAGGGTATAACACATAGGTGTATGTATCACCTTGAAGATTATTTTTTAAAGGATTTTCTTCAGCTGTACTGTAGAGGATTACCTTTAAATAGCTGCATTGCTCTAAGAGAAACAGCCATTGGTCTATTGCATTATTCAGTTAAAAGAGAAATGCAACTGATGCACAAATTACTACTGTTAGCACACTGTTGGTTTTTTGCTTGTTTTCTTTTTTTTTCCTGTTGAGACTTAGGGATGATTTTTGTCCCTATGAAACATTACCTGACTTTCCATTAATTATCTTACTGGAACTTTAAGGCAAAAGACAAGAAAATTAAGTTATATTTCATAGAATTCATTAGCTTGAATTTCACACCGTTTCAGTGTTTAACTTTCTGTCTAGAGACTTACAGTCACACATCTTGTATATACAAATTAAGGATTTTCTAAGAACGTAGATCTATTTGAAGTAACATTTTATATTAAAGAGAAAATTCAAATACCCACATCAATAATTAACATTCTTTATATTGACAAAACATTTTTTACCATGTGATTAATAAAGAGCAAAATACGCCTTTAAGAAACATTTTTGAAAGTTTTAACATCCTCAAAGTCTACTGATATTTTTCAGTAACGTTATGCTGTTAACTTAAAAAGGAATATGAAATTGTACATAGGAAATGAATTCAAGATTTCATCTTAACTAGCTGACAACACTGACATTATTTGCATTTCTGTTACTTGCTGCTGTCTGGCAAGTGAAAAAAAAAACACAAAAAACTGCAAATCTCTGGATTGAATAACTAAACCTGCAGGTACTGAGTTACTGCTCCCACTGTTGAAAAGGAGATTTCATTAAAACAATGTGTGTGAGTCTTTGCTTAGCGGAATTCTTGCATCTGGCAGAATTGCTGCTCCACATTCAGTCACATCTAAAAAGCCTATTAAGGATACAACATTGTGGTTTGGATGTTTACATGTTGACTGTATTTTCCTGTATTTCATCCTTTGGTCAGTGTGCTAGGATTGTCCCATCAGCTGGGAGGAGCTGGGGAGACGAGATGAACAAAGCTGACCTCACTGAAAGAAGGAGGAACTGTTTCCACATTGTCAAAACTGTACTGGGACAAATTGGTGTTCTTTTCATTTATCAGTGCTAGTATTGTTCTGAAGTTGCCTTTGTATGTGTTTGAATTTCCTGAATCTACAGGATCTTACCAGAAACATAAGTGGTAGATAACATGCGTGCACTACTGAATTTTTAGGTAAAATAGTGCATAAATTTCATGCAGAAAAAGGCAAAATTTTAGCAGTCATACTTGGTGACTTTCTACAGCATGTTTTCAACAATGACTTCTCTGATTTTTTCAGCTTAAATTTTAATTTCTTGAAAAATGCAAACTTAGATTGAGAAAACTCAGCTCCAAGACTGTTATTAATTGGTGAAGTGTTCCACTTTGAAAAATGCCTCTACAAGATTTGGAGAAAAATTATTTGCCAATTATAATTCTTCAGTATATTCATAAAAACTTACAAATTTCTTTAATTTTAGAATCATAGAATCATAGAATCACCAAGGTTGGAAAAGACCTAAAAGATCATCCAGTCCAACCGTTCACCTATTACCAATAGCTCCCAATAAACCATGTCTCTCATCACAACATCCAGTCTTTATGTGCTTTCAAGTATGTAAAGCAAAAAGCTCTTATCTGGGACAAACAAACCAGAGTGTTTCCCATCTATGCAACAATATATTTAATTATTTAAATAATTTTAGCTTATCTGCAAATATTCTTTATACATATGTACGCTCAACATTTCAATTTGATAATGAAGGTCCAACTGAAGCTTTGTATTCCTAAGATGCTGTTGATTCCACAAAACATGCATTGTAGGTTAGGCAATAGTTTGAAAATATTAAAGCTGGATTACTTTTTCCAATTGCTTTTTGAAATAATAATTCTGAACCTGTTAGCCTAGCTTCTTTCAATCAAATTATAAATTCTTGTACTTCCAAGGTGTTCAGCCCTCACTCTTCTCTGCATACATCCAAGGAATGGAGCTCTATGATCTTCCCTTTCCAAATGCAAGCCCAGTGTAAACTCCAGATCCATCTTTATACCCAAACAAGGTACAGACCATAAAAACTCTACATTTCATTGCTACTCAGTCTTTTATTCTGTGATTGACATTGCCCAGTACCAGATATTACAAAGGAAAAAACTCCCAAACCTACACTTTGTTATAAACTACTGGACTTTTCTTCCCTATTAGCCAGTTTAGCAAATTAATCTGTGTCCTGAGATCTGAAAATTTTGTCGGGTTTTCCTTTTCCTCTGTAACATGTATCTGTTTTCAATCTCTGGTGTAATAATTCAGTAACGTACTCATTTGAATCCTGTGAAACTATTTACATACTGTACTTCTGTTGTATTTCTTTAGAGAGAAGAAAACTCAAAGGACTACGACTCAGAAAGTCAAATCATCAGTCTACAGTCTCACTGTGCCTACAGAATTAAGGGACAAATTCTCTGCTGTTAGATGCTGGTCCAGGAGGAGGCTGATGACAAAAGGGAAGGAGGGAATGATTGGAAAATAATGACATACTTTACCAGTGTCTCCTGAGGAACAGGCTCGTTGTTTTAAAACAGTAAATTGTTTCTGCCTTCACATCCAGCATCAAGAGTCTGGTATATGCTAGAAACAACAGACATTATTTGAGGCAATCTTGAAATCTCTAAGAGCCAAAGAAGATACACAGGCAAAATCCTGAAGCCTCTCTCTCTAACCCTGTCCCAGAAATTGAAAGTGTTTTAAACTAAGGGCTGGTAGAATAAGGAAAATAGAATATGTCTGGATATGAACTGATCTCTTTGACCTGATTAAAACTAATTCTCTGATATATCCTGTATGCTGCTCACTTTATACCCACAGAAATTCAAATTATTTCCAGGGAAATCAAAGCTGCTTTAGAGTAATAGATTTTTTTTTTTTTTTTTTTTTTTTTCTGAAAAAACTCATTCCAAGTAATATAGGTACTATGTATAAGGCATAGATGTATATGTATAAGGCATATGTATATGGCATAAGATCATGTATTTTAAAATGTAGTGCCTCCTATGAACATTCTTCTGAATTAAATGTTTTATCTTTTCCTTCAAAAATTGCCATATTTGAAAGAATTATTTTTTTCCTAGCACCTGCTTAATCTTTTGTTCTGTAGATGATTTCTCATTACCCAGGTGTCCTCTTATGGACACACAGAAAGATTGGGCTCAGTTTAAGTGTGAAATAATCCTGTTGCTTCTATCTGAGAATGAATGAGCCTGGGATTAGATCAGATAAAACACACTTGAGATAAAGTGCACAAGGTGGATTATATGCGAAAAGAGGATTTAGTGAAGAACATATCCACAACTTTTTGTTAACATAGAGAATGGTAGCTTTTGTAAGCAACATTTATGGAAACTCAACTGGAGGTTTAAAAGCTATGTCTTTTGTTGTACATTTCTCTGCATACATTTGCTTTGTAGTTGGTAGCTTTAACTTTGGAAGCCATGCTGGGCCTTGACTCATGCTCATTTTGTTTAATGAAAAGCTAAGGATGTACTTTTACTCACAGATTCTTGTTTTGTTTTCTTTGAAGTTTATTAAGCTATCCAGTAAGATGGGAGGTTCATTAGATTGTTATTATCATGGCCACAAATTAAGAATCAGTTCCCTGGGGAGTTATAAGCTTCAAGTGGATGTCAGAGCCATACTTATTACAATATTTACTTAATTAACAAGTTGCTGCTTCTTGTCATATAAAATACAAACATGAACTCTGCTGTCCATATTAGACATACACTCTCCACCTGCTGAATGTTTAACATCCACTCATCCCATTTAAGAATTCTTATAGAATATATAACTTTTTTTTCTTGTTACACGATCATTTTAAATGGTTAACCAAGAATATTTAAGAACAATAGTGCTTAATTCAAATATTATACGAAATCTGACATTAGTATTGATTTTGGTTCTATATGTCAGAATACTGGTAGTTTCCAATACCAATAAAAGCACTTCAAAATTAGCCAATTATGATTTGCCAAAGCACCTTGAGAGTCAACATGTGAGGGGTGTTTTGTCAAGTAGCTGGCTGGAGATCACTGGAGTTAAGAGTTCTCCTAAAAGCAGCTCAGAAGTAATGATAATGATCTGTAATAAAATCAGGCTTTTCAAGGCTGCAGCACACATCTTTTAAGAAAACTTGGGGAAATTCATATAAGATGTGTCACCGCAAATGTCTGGAAGTCACACTTCATCACTATATAGTTGAGTTTTTTCCACCTCTTTAGTGCTTTAATTGTACAATGCCGTAAATTTTAAAATGACCAAATCTTCCCGTTGAGTCTTTTGAAGACGTCAAGCCATGTAAAACAAAAATGTTATTTTCTTTTCTCAGATACAACTTCTGTGAACAGATATGACTATTAGGAGGATGTCAACACCACAGAACAATGTCTATATTTTTTTGAGAAACGCGTGCCTATTTTTACTTCAGAGGTTGCACTTGGCAGTACAGGTTATCATCTGTCAAAATTATCATTTATATGTTATCTACCATATGACTCATACCTTACTGAAGAACCTTCTTTTTTGTATCCTGTTTTTATATTTTACTGATTTACCTCTCACTCCACCAGTAACGTACTTTGGCAAGGTCCATTCTAGCAGCCCTTTTCCCTATAGAAAAATCCTTTAACTATTTACCTTCTGTGAATCTTGCTTTAGAAAGGCCCGCTGCTTTCCCCAGCTGTGGAAGGAACACAGGCTTCCTCTAGTGCCAGGTTCATTTTCTGGTTCTTCTATCCAAGTGAAAAGCCAACTTGATGAAGTAGTCACCTACCAACAGACAGGAGTTCTGAAATGAAAAACACTCTCGTTTTGAAAATGACGACACAAATCAAACCAACACCATTTTTGAGCCTGAATGAGACAAGATGATACTCATTTGCTTTGCTAAGCCCATATAAACCACTTTCAAGTAAAATATAAGATTTATGCTCAAGTGTAAAAGAAAGTGAAAAACCTGTTCAGATCCTTTCATAGTAAATATTAAAAAGTTTTCCTCTTAACTATGCTTGCTAAATAAAAAATCCAATGCTGAAGTTCTTGCTGTGTATTTTTATAAGTTTACAGTAACTAGCAAGGAATATTGAAAACTATTAAAAAAAAAAAAAAAAGTAATATTTAAAAAAAAACAGTAATAGCAGTGTCTGAAGATACTATGGCATCAGTATTTGAGATACCACTGAATCCCATCTTGGTCAGTGTAACTTTCAGGCCACCATGCATGATGCAGATACTCAGACAGCAACCCAGTCTTTGCATTTTGTAATCTTCCCTGTGCTTTAACTTGCGCTTTTAAAAATCTCATACTCTTTGAGAAGATGCATTTAATCTTCATTTCTTATTCAGTTCTGCAAGTCAAAGATTTCAAAATACTCACAAAAGTAATTTACAAAAAAATCTAAAAACTTAGTAATAATTTAAATATTTTTCAAGAGAAATAATTTGAAATGTTGAAATAAAGGTGTTAGCTTCCATCTTGGCATCTTACAATAATTAAAAGAAACAAAGAAACAAACACAAAACAATGTCATTCATCATATCAGTCATCAGGGGCTGCATCATAACTTTGCATAGGGCCAGACACTCGTGAAGTTATTTATAGTTATATAAATGTCATAAAGATATGACTCTTGCTCACTCAGAAGTGTCTGGAGTTTCTAAAATGTATTCCAATACTGGAAAATAAAACAATGTTTTCTATAATCCAGCAATAATGATTACAAATTAATAATGAAATTATTCTCTGGTGAATTTTATTCTTCTACTGTTCCTTGAAATAGATTTGTGATTAAAAATAATCCTCTGTAATTATATCCACAGAGCTGTTTAAGCTTTTTATCACCGCTAATGATAATATGGTCATGCTTTCTACAAAAAGTGTATTTCTCAACATGATGTGCTGTAAACAACATGTCTTTAGGCTATTTTTGACCTTTAACCAATGGGAAAGGTCTGTCTAGTTGATCTCATCTAACTACACAGCAGGTACAAGGAATTAAACCAATTTAGTTTGAGCCCTGGTACAATATCAAGTATCAGACAATGTTTTCCAAAAGGAAATGCTTAACAAGCTTGTAATCCTCTATTATATTTATCTATACAAAGAGGTTAAAAACAAAAACAAAGAAAAATAACAACAACAACAACAACAAAACTGCAAAAACAAACCCTGAGCTGTGTTCAGCAGAGTGGAATCCCAAGCAGAAATCCATGATATCATGTAGTTCACAAAAGTTGGCAAGGAGCACTGCTAAGAGCAAATTATAAATAAACAATCCACTCTGGACCTATACTGTGTCAGACTGCTTGTAAGGTAATAGAACAAAAGTAAAACACTGCATTTCTGGCACCAGCAGCCTCCAGATATTTGCCCGATTTTCAAAGTGAACTGTACTTTTCATTGGAAGAGCAGTGAAAGAGATTAATAATTAAAAAGAAACATTGAAAACAAAGCTTTAAAGAAAAAAAAAAAAAAGACACCCAAACATCAATTATGTTCTAAACAGCACACGTATAATTTAAAGAGGCAATTTTGCTTTCAGTATAGATACAGGTCCCAGTATCACCATTCTTGCTCTGCCTCCTTGCTGAGACAAAGCCTGATGTTTCTCCCAGGCAGCTACACTTCATGAAAAACCACAGAATTATGAAGGTTGGAAAAGACCTCTAAGATCATCTAGTCCAACCACCTACCTCCCACCAAATCTGCCCACTGTCCATGTGCCTCAGAACCATATCTCTATGGTTCTTGAACACCTCTAGGGATGGTAACTCCACCAACTCCCTGAGCAGCCTGTGCTAATGCACCACTTCTCTTTCTGAGAAGTATTTCCTAATACCCAACCTCCCATTCAGGAGCTGAAGTACATGCCCTTCATTTACCAAGCAGCATTAACAAGAAAATGTCTATTTTTGCACGAGATGCTGGAGGATATGGTGTCATCAGGTGAGGAATGGTTTTTCCTGAGATTTCATGAGAATAAACTGGTTACTTGTCAGAAATCTTACGATACAAGGGGATAAGTTACGAGTTAATTTGATCCAGAGCAGTCATGCAGTTCAGGGTGCAGTTTTGTCTTCCAAGACCAAAGTTTGCAGACACCGTAGATTCTTTGCCTGGTGCAATGCGGGATGACCACTGACCCCCGTAAGCACCCAGGCTTTATCAAGCAGAAGCAAAAGGATGCTGATGCTGTATCATTGCTGGTTACTCTGGAATATACATATGTAATGGGGTATGGAGTTCAGTAACACTGCTTTTGTTACAGTGATGCTCATATAGGCAAAAAATGAAGTAAATACTGCTTTTTGCAGTTTTGGCCAGTTTTACTCATCAAAAACAACTCCTGAAAATTTTCCCTCTCATCTCTGACCATTTCCTGCTTCTGAAATTTTCACTGGGTAAAAATTGGTCTTGGGGCAACCTAAACATTGTTTTGAAACTTGTTTTTTTTTTTTTTCTTCTTCTTTTTTTTAACCCAATAGTATCATTATTTATTAGCATACTTCTTTCAAGAATATTCAAATGCTTAAAACTGAAAATTGAGCATAATGCAAGCCACTATAGAACAGATGCCAAGCTTGAAGTGCTCTTAGGAATACATATACCACATTTTAATTTCAACTCGTATTATTATACTAACTAGTCACAAAATGGCTTCCTATTTATGCAATATGTTATCTGTAATGTCACTTAAATTGAATAGATGAGTGCATTCTAATAATGTATGTTTACTTCATGAACTTGTAGGCAATTACATTGTAATTATGTCTTTTGTAGGTCCTTTTTTTTGCTGACACATAGTGCACCAGTGCATTTTAAGTGTAATTGCAGTTCTCCCTACCATTTAGGAAAGCTGAACATTGTTAAAGGTTTGTAAATTACCTACTCTTAGACCATAGGCAAGTAGGCAAATTAAATGGCAGTCAGTAATATTATAATGTAAATTGGTGCCAAGCATAATCCAAGGTAGGAGCATTTTTGCAGAACAATGCTTATATTGCACCTCAAAAACCACAACAGAAAAAGCAGACGTTCCCTAACCTGCCAAAGTGCATGTTTCTAATACCTGAAAAACACATGCAGCATACAGCCTAAATGACCATTAACTAACTACATAAAGAAGTGAACGTGTTTTTTACTTTTACATGCACATAGTCTGCCCAACTGGGTCATACAGTCATACAGAAGGGAAAGGTATGCCCAAATGCCAGTATGTCTGAATGTCATTCCCGCTTCTTGGGAAAATGATGTTTCACCAGAGAAAGAAGAAAATACTTTCCCAGCAGCCTGCAATGTCTTGGAGGGAGGGATGAAGACAGACCATTCTCAGGATGAAATCTGTATCATCCCTATTCCCTTCTTGCAAGATCTTGTACTCACTTTGAAGAAGGAAGGAAGAAACAAGCCTCTTTGACCGTGCTAATTCCTCACTTTTTCCTTGAATAAAGGCATGAGCCTTGTGAGGACTCGCAATAGCATGGCACAGAAGGACAATTGTGTGTTCTTCTCATGGTTTTAGCTTCTCAGCAAATCCACAGACTAGATCCCCACATAATCTTGAGGCCCCAAGCTCCATGCAGCAGAAGAAACCCTGAAAGCCTTAAGAAGAGAGAGGAATCCCTATCCTTACTTCAGCAGAGCAGTGACCTGTATCCCAAAGGGAACTTGAAGAGCACAGGTAAAAAGAAAACCATCTCTCAGCATCAGCATGAGGTCATATCTTCTACAACTGGGCGCCATCTGATTGGGGCACAAAATTTTAATATGAAGTTAACATATTTCAGCCTGGTGCTTTAAACCTATTCTCTGTGTGCTTTATCATTATTCACCTCACTATGTGGATCACAAAATTGCATTTTATTTATTTTTTATCCCCTTCTTGCGTAAAACAGGCGTTTCAAAGCAGAGAAAAAATTATTTGTCCAACTTTTGCAATGATTCATGACACAGTTATAAAAATACTAATTTAACTAAAATTATTGGTTATAATGGTATTGTTTTAGAGAACAGAAATTTGAAGAGTTGGCAGTGTATTTACAATAGGAACTTGAACCATCACATGCATGGACATGTCAGTATAGAATTTTTTTAAAGTGGATTTATGTCACCGTATGGGGCTTAAGGGGATAGTGATTATTATACACTGAGAAATGTGCATTTAGCTTATAAAACCAATGTCCCACAGAGGTGACCACTCTAGAAAGACCAGCAACATCACTTAAGTAAATTAATTTTGAAGTACTGTCCTGTCACTTCATGCCTCTAGGCCAATCACTCACTGGTGGAGACATCCTAGTTTTGGATTAAACCAGCTCAACCATGCAGACTGTAGCCACTGCATGGGAATGAGCATCTGGGATTGACAGCTCACAGATCTTGGCAATAGAGGCCACAAGTCCAACGATATAATTTTTATTTAGAGTAAAATTCTAGTGGCATTTTGGTAGAATTCAATCTTCAGTAAATATTTATCAGAATAAACCCAGGAGGCCTGATGCTGAACTCACTTGTTTTCCTTGCAACTTGGAAGTAGCAACAGAATTATATCAAAGCAATTCAGAATAATACCCCTATGGCTGGATGCAAACATGGGTATGGAGAGATGGAAACAATCATGTTCACAGGCCCAGCAAACACATAGTAAGCTGTCTCTCATTTTATATCAGGAATATCAGAATTTAAAGTTCAGAAATATCAGGAATTTAAAGTTCCTCTTTCTATTGGTGTTTCTAACTGGAAGTGAGAGCTGCAAAACATATAGCATAAAACAAAACCACTGAATGGCT